GATGAGTTTTGTTATAAGGTCTAATATAATAATATAATTAATATCCCACATATACTTATGTTGAAACGTTAGTAGGTAGTTTTCGAAAATCGCTCGATTGATATGTCGATTTTCGATTTAACGTCGATTTTCAATTTAAACTTTCAGTTAATTTTATATAAACTTTCAGTTACTTTTGAATATTTACAGGGTGACTCAGGCTTCCGAAACAGTTCTATATTAGGTCTGTGGTTGGTGACTTTTCTTTCAATTTTTTTTTTCAGAATATGGAGGCAATGGTAAAGCACATTTTAGACATTTTGTAAACATAGGTGGCCGGAACATATTTTCAAACTAAAGTTGTAGATTTGCCATTAAATTGCCATTCCAGAAATACCTAGGGTTGCCACCTGTCCTTTTTAGAATAACTTGTCCTTTTGACTTTTTTTACTTAAAAGTCGTTTTTATTTACGTATTTTCCCTGAGAAAATTACCTACAGCAAACAGAAATATTATTTGCGTCCAAATTTAATTAGAAATGTTATAAAACTTATAAATAAGTTTTTCTTGTTTAGAATAGGCAACATTATTTAGAACTTCCGGTTTAATCTCAAATGATAATTTAGGTTTTAGTTTTACCTTTTTTTGATCTTAAAAAGAACTTTTTAAAATTAGTAATTAGTAACGATTTAGTTAGTTCGCAATCGATAGCTTCCCGTAAAGTACTGTGTAATAGTTGTTTAATCTTGTATTATTAATAACTTCCTATACCTAAAATCAATATTTAATGAGAAAATTGTGTTTTTTTGAAAATATAAGACAAGATTTGACTTTCGGTCTTCTTCTTGTATTATGATGGCTCTGATACGAGGCAATTACCTTTTAGTCTCTCAATAGAAGGCATTTTTCATTAAAAGTATCAAATCTGTGTGCTACAATATGGGATTTCTGTTGCATAATAATGAATATTACGTTTATTTACAAATCCATTACTTTTAAAGGTAGCTTTATCAGACAATCAAATTTTAGTTAAATGTCCCAATCTTCATGAACTGTATTAAGCATATGTATTGCGGTTTGAATCACCCCGAGAATCACCCTGTATGTTGACAAAAATATTTTGAAAATGTGCGTTACAATGGCCCCCATCTTATGTAAAAAATTGAAATAAAAATTACAAACCAAAAACGTAATAGATAAAAAGCTTTTTTGGAGGCCTGGGTCACTCTGTATATAGGTATGTATAAAACTAGTAGCCTAAGAATTATTTACAGTTCGTCCCATTCTAAAAAAAAGATACGGTGGTAAAAAATTGTTTAAACGAGGCCGAAGGGGTAGATATAATAATGCAATAAAATGTAAAAAAGGGCGGGTAAACACCTTTGTTTATTTGTTGAGCAAAATTCCTTTAGAATATCGTATATAATGACCAAAATATGACGCAATTTTAAGAAAAAAATGTCACTTTCTGGCTTATAATAAAGTTTCAAATGCAACGTTTATATTCAAATTTGTTATGATCTACAACAGTTAAGTAGTAATTGAGACGAATTATAATTCAATTACCGGCTACTACGTTCTTGTTTTAAAAGCTCAAAATTCAACAAATATAATTAGAAATTATTTTAATTGTGAGAGGCCCCTTGTGGGACGCCTATGTACGGCGATTACGGCGCGGCGGAAACAATACCTACCTGTGAAAAGACAAATTCGGGTAATTTGAGCTTATTTTTCCACACATTTGACACTGTCGTACCATATTGAAAATTCGTAGATTCAAAAGTACGTTAAACAAAAGCAAAAACTACTGAAAAACACTGAAAAGTTCACTTCGGACTTGATTCCGACTTCAAACACACCGTAAGCTAAACGTAGTACGCTATAACGGACCAATGGCCGTCGCGAGGGGTGGTGGGACGGACGGCTCATTTCATTCTGGAAGACTAGCAGCGACGTTGCCAATAGTTCTAGACGTTTCAGCACATTAAACAGTAAACATGTCCTTTAATAGTAACGCATATATCCTCTGGTTAATAACATATTATTACGCATGCTTCTTTAAAAATAAACTATTAATTTAATTAAGAAATTGAGATTTATTGATATCCGGTGAAGGTTTTAAAGTCACCTTTTCTGCAAATCAAACTAAGTAGATAGGCGCAAATTTGAGATGTGGCAATGTCGCCTTCTCTATCTCAGTTGGTTTTTACAGTACGTAGTCAACCTCCGATTGTTTGATCGGGTTAAAATGCAAAATGTGATATCTGTTCTTCCTAAATCTATGGTATATTGGTAGTTCATATTAAGTCGGACACAGAAATCCGCCATTCTTAACACGTATCCGATTGTCAGCCATTTTAAAATCGTTTTTTGTTTTTAAAATTTATATTCACATTTCGATTTCTAGTAGAATAATATTGATAAGGTTGAATTTGGGGGGAACCACAGTACAGTTTTATGATTAAACCAGCTAGAAAATTAAAAAAATATTTTGCAAGTTACTTTTTTGTAGATATTTTTATTTCATAAATCTACCTAATTTTGAAGGCGCTCGTTGTTTTCCGGAGTATTTTAATCAGATATATCAAAAAAGTGACTTCCGTTGACAAAACTGATGTCTGGATTAATGATTCAGAATTATTATAATATGAAATTAGATAGGCACTTATATAGTTATATTCGAGGGGTGATTATGAATCCATTTGTAATTAGGTAGTTTGGTTAGGTTTTTATGTATTCTTGGTAGCGAATATGAAACCAAACGTATCGTAAGTGCTTTGCGACGAATTTTAAGTGACTAAAATCCAACGTAATATGACGTTGGTAATTGGTAGAATTACATTCCCTATTAGGTCAGATACCGACGTCGAGGCGACCCGAATCTGTATTCCCCATTTAGGTGCAAATAAGGATCGTCAGGCGGTCGAACCGACGTTGGTACCCGACGTCGGGTTTATTGAACGCGACGTATACCCGACGTTAGATAACGTCCAAATGCTACTTGGGTGGTCACCCATTTAACATCAATATCATACAAGTTTACTCACCAACCGCTGATAAAAGTGACGAAGATGTAGAGGAATTCTACCAAGACACTCAAGAGATAATGCGAGGCACAAAAAATACAGACATTAATATCATCATGGGTGATTTAAACGCTAAAATAGGTACATGAAGATTTGAAAACATAATAGGAGAATATGGACTTGCAGACAGAAATGAGAGAGGCGATCGACTTCTCTAGGTTTTTCACGAAAAATAGTTAGTAGTAACTAATGCATGGTTTAAACTGCCTCCAAGGAGATTATATACTTGGAAATCACCCCAAGATAGTCCCGAAAAAATAATAAGGAATCAAATCGATTTCATCATGATTAATAGCAGATTCCGAAATGCCACAAAGTCAGTAAAAATATATCCTGGGGCAGATATTGGGTCAGATCATAACCCTGTAGTGGCGCAATTCAGAATCAGATTAAAAAAGATCAACTGTAGGTAGAATTGAATTTAATAAAATACCTCGATGATAACCTCGATGCTCTTAAGGACAGCGACAAAAAACATGAACTTTCTACACAAATTAATAGCAAGTTAAAAAGTCTGAAAGAACATATAAATGATATGGAAACTGATAAAATATGGACAAATCTCAGAGATACAGCCAAAGATACTACGTTGGAGATCCTAGGGAAAGAGAGTCAACATACAAGGAAAGACTGGATGACCAATAAAATATTACAATTAATGGAGGAAAGAAGACTATAAACGAACAACTTGGAAAATTATAATAAGATCAACAGAATCATCAAGCGTGAAATCAGAATAGCTAAAGAGAAATGGATAAACGAATAGTGCGCTGATATAGAAACCCTGGAACAAAAACACGACAGTTTTCACCTTCATAAAAAGATCAAAGAGGTGACACACACTTATAAACGTACAATACCGGGCAAACTTATTGATGATAAAAATAAACTGGTGATAGATAAACAAGAAGAACTGGATATATGGAGAGCTTACATAACGGAATGTTTTAATGATTATCGAGAGTCAACAGATCAATGGGACAATTGCTTAGACAGATCAGACATACTAAAGGAGGAATTAGTTCAAGCTTTTGCAGAAAGTAAAAATGGAAAAGCTGTCGGTCCTGATTATTTAAATGTTGAAATCCTCAAACTGTTAGACGAAGAAAATATAAATCTTCTACTTAAATTGTTTAATCGCATCTACAACACCGGAGAGATACCTAAACAATGGCTGCAATCCACATTTGTAACGCTCCCTAAAAAGTCAAACTCCAAAAGATGCAATGAGTATCGTCTGATAAGCTTTATGTGTCATACATTAAAAGTGTTTCTGCGTGTCCTGCACTCTAGACTATGGAGAAGGATTGACGAAAATATAAGTGAAACTCAATTCGGCTTTAGAAGTGGGCTGGGAACCAGAGATGCTTTGTTCTCAATACAGGTTTTAGTCCAAAAATGCCTCGATCAGCAGACAAGTGCCTTCGCATGTTTCATAGATTATGAGAAGGCATTTGATAACGTGAAACATGACAAGCTGATACATTTACTGAAGCGGATGGGGTTAGATGGCAAAGACATCAGCAATCGGACTGTCACATATTCGATATTTATCCGTGGTAGTCCACTAAGCTACAACAAAACAAATCTTTTAAAAATCCCTTGCGTGTATGGGCATCTACTGTCAGGGACTGCTATTAAAGATGAAAGAAGAATAAGTTAACTTTTAAATTTTAATAAAAAATAGGAATAGTTATTTTCATAAATTGTATTGCTTGACAAACTATTGTTTCTTATTTCTATAAATACTTTTAGAAAAATGAAATTATATTTTGCATACAATATTTACATTTTGGAGCGAAAATATTTAGTTCTAAAAATGACTTTGCAAACCATTTCCAAAGCAAAAGGAGTTTCAATATCGTTTTAAAAAATTAAATAACAGTCATGTTCTTTAATATAATAAATTTATTTATTTATAATTAATTACACACTAATCTAATTTGCATATTTACATCACAGGACCAACAATTACAAGGTACAACGTGTTATTTCGTCAAGCAAGGCGTTTTTTATCCTATTTTAATTTTCTAATCTAATATATGTACAAAAATTTATAAATATTTACATAGAATAAATAATTAATTATACTTTTGTGACACTTGCCATTTGTCATATATACCGAAGGTTAATTAATAACAAATATTGACGCAAAAATAAGACATGCCCACTAAATACAGTTATGTTTGAAACAAACTGGCTAATGTGTTGTTAAAAAATAAATACGAATATCACTGTTTATACTTATTGAGTAATATCGAAAGTATATCATATTTTAGCGTTAATAATATTTTGAGATTTTGTTGTAAAAGTAATTTTAGTTTTATAGTATTTTTAGATTAGATAATTGTCAAAGTAATTACTTATTACCAGACATGTCTTAAAAACGTTCTAATTTTTATCAAGTTCGGTAAATTGTATATATTTCTGGTTAGTATGATATAAATCACGAGTTTCTACGTCTACAAAAATAATGTAGAAATTCAGTATTTATATTTTCAAGTTCTTCACTATTTTTGCACATTTCTTTGTGAAAAACATATTTTCTTCTAGACTATCTACATTAGAATAGAATTGACTTTTTACCACTGGGCCAAAATTTGTTCACTAAGGCATTCAACAAACATTAATTGTTCCTAGTTATCACTGTTACCGGCTTAAGAAGTCCTTCAGGGGCAGGCGGCGGTGGAGGTACCCCTTCAGGAGGTGACATCCCTGCAGCCGACATGCTTTGCATCCTCTGGTACGCCAAGTTGACCAAAGGTAGCTGCAGAGGATACTCCAGCGGTGTTGCTAGCCTAAGATTACTGTACATCTGTAGTAGCGATGATGGAGGTCGAAATATTGAAGGCATGCTGGACAGTTCGGGTGCCGAGGCACTCATGGCCTTGTCCAGAGGATAGCCTGGCTGTGCAGGAAAATTTGGTCTGGGTAGGGCACTGTGAAGGTAGGGGTTGTAACGAGAGTAGGCAGCTAGTAGGGCTGGAGATGGAGGGTAAAATGGCGAGTAACATCCAGGAATGGGTGGATACAAAGCTAGTGTTCTTTTAAAAGCAGCCAGACGGCTCCTCGAAGCTGCTGTGGATCTCCTACGGAGCTTTCCAGTAGATCCTCCGATAAACACGTCGTCTGCAGACGGATCCAGCATCCAGTAGTTGCCTTTACCGGGGTCGTCATAATGTCTAGGCACCTGAAACAAAATTTTCATTGTAACTAACGCATTTAGGTGTATATTTTGTGTAGTTTACCTTAACGAAACATTTGTTCAAACTGAGATTATGCCTAATGGAATTCTGCCATCCTTGTTTGTTTTCACGATAGTACGGAAAGTTTTTCATTATGTACTCGTATATACCGTTTAGGGTCAGTCTTTTTTCCGGGCTGTTTCGGATGGCCATCATGATAAGGGCGTTATAGCTGTAAGGAGGCTTGTCGTTGGCTTTCTTTTCTTTTTCTGGAATAAAAAAATGTGAAAATAAGAGATAATACTATTATAAATATTTAAAAATAATTTGTAAATATATGTAATACAATAAGATGGCGAATATCTGAAACATCAACCATTCGCTGGTAACATAAGAGTTACAAGAGAAAATGAACAAGCCCGAAATACTGTCAACAATGAAGTAAGCTTATAAAGATGAGCCTAAATAAAATGAAGACAATTAAAAACAAACTGATAGATAAATTTCCACACATAGCATAGATGAATACATTAATATCCAACTATTACAGTTTCGAAGTTACGGGATTTTGTTCAAAAATGTGCATTTCTAACAAATCGCTGTAACTTTTTTTATATGGAAAATTTTGTATTTCTATGAAAACATTTCCGAAGCACTTTTTTACGTAGAATTTAATGGTTTAAGTATAATTTTTTTAAAATTAATAATTTAAGAATTATCAACAGAAAAATTGATTTTTTTCTTTCGGACACCCTGTATATTTTTAATTAACTGAAAAGAACTTAAAATTACATTTCCAAAAATATAGCACACTTGATATTTTGTTATAATCCCCTTCGAAATACAGAATTTTTAAAAGTTCGTCACTTTTAGTTGTATAGGCTTTTGACCCCTTGATTGATGGTATGCCCCTAATGGAACACGAAAACATATTTTTCCAGCAAGACAAGGCACCGCTTCAGAACGCTGAAGTTATCAGCAAATGCAGCCAATTTCAAGAATAACTATTCAATAGCTAACAATCAATAGCTAGCCGTTGTCCGTCGAGGCCGCCGGACTTAGTGCTTATGGATCTAATTCTATGGATATATTTGCGTAAGAATAAAGGTTCTTTTTAAATTGCCCGTATAATCTAGATAATAATGAGAAATACTTAGCAGTTATGAGAGAGTATCTTTCACCCCTACTGAGTTAATGAATTCCGCGAGAAATGTTCAAAAACGGCCCCGTCTGTCCGTAACAGAAGACGGTAGATAACACCTGTAGTAAAATCTCATGTCTTGGTTTGCTATTTATTTGTATTGTTATAAGATATAATTTAAACGTGTTGATGTTCGTTAAATACAGTTTAAATTGTTATAAAATTCTGCATCTCTCATAGCAAATATTATTTTCGTTTTAATTGATGCTCAAGCTAGAATTTTTTTGCATTACAGCCGGCGCCGTTCAAAGCCTACTTATTTAAAGTTGGCGAATTTTTATAAACTCTATATCTCGAAGAGGAATCGAGCAAAATATCAAGTGTGCCGTATTTTTGGAAAAGTAATTTTAAATTCTTTTCAATAAATTAAAAATATACAGGGGGTCCTATATAAAAAATCAAATTTTCTGTTGATAATTCTTAAATTATTAATTTTAAAAAAATTATACTTAAACCATTAAATTCTACGTAAAAAGGTGCTTTGGAAATGTTTTCATAAAAATACGAAGTTTTCCATAGCAAAAAAGTTACAGCGATTTGTTAAAAATGCATATCTTTGAAAACAACCCCTAACTCTGAAACGGTAATAGATATCGATATACGGTTTTCACCATCATATTTTTGACAATAATTGAGCTCCAGACACCGACATTAGTTTTCGTCTATCTCTTATAGAAAAATGCGTTTTCTTCTGAAATGCGAAAAAGAGTCCAATTTGGCCCACCCTGTACTGGTCATCATATTGTTTTAAGCTAGTAATCACAACATTAAATTTGAATCTACAAATTTCAGTGCCAGGATTTTTTTTTAATTTTAATGCATTGACTTTTACCGCATATTTATTTTTTAGACAAATGCTCAACTGCTTAATCACCATGATACTTATAATCGTCATCCATATAATAATAAACATCCAATAAAAAATCATAAAATGATAGGAACTAAGGGCACAAACATAGTGAGGCATCTCGATGCGATGCTCGCCAAGATGCTGGCCGTGCTGCTCGCCAGGATGCTAGCCGCGATGCATCCTACGCGCACTGTTTTTAAACGGCGAGGAAGTGCGCGTAGGATGCATCGCGACTATCGTACAAACATAGTGCGGGGCATTTCACATCGACGCGATGCGCGCAATACAAATTTATGCGTCAAAACATACTGGAGCCTCGCACCTCGCCACGCACCTAGATGTTCAGCGCTATGCTTCCTAGGAAACAAAATTTTTGTTTTTTGCGAGAAGCGGACGCGGATGCCTGAAACTTTACATTTGATTGGTCGGTTTAGGATCACAATTCGTTGAGCTTATGTCGAACTAGAGTCGGGTGGAATAAAATGTTCACAATACGAGTATTTAATTTATCACCAACAATGTAATCAACTTGATTCTACAGGGTCCGGCAATAGTGCGTCGGGCAACTGCAGCTCCTATAATAAAAAAACTTATGAATTTTGTAATACAGACATAAAGTTTATATTAGGATGTATTTGATGAAAATATTTGAACTTCTAAAGGGTGTCTCAAAAAAGTGTGAGTGGATCGCGAATATTTTTTTAAATGGAACGCCTATATGCAGAGTGGCGCAACTCATTCGCCTTGGTTGATTATACGAAAACGGAAATATGTAGAAACAAAATATTTTATGGGCATATGTGGGAAGACCATGTGCATAGTTTAAAATTATTTTGAAGTGTAGAGGGTATGTCAGAACTAAGATTTATACCAAAGTTATATTTTTTCTTATGAACACCCGGTATTTTATTTCATATTTGGATCCTTGGACACAAAATAAGGCCTTTATTATAAGGGTTATTATATATTAATATGTTTACAAGCTTTGGTTTTTGAGATATTTAAAAATATTTAAATATGCATGCTACAATGGAATAAATTATCAACACCCTGTGCATTACTTTATAGAATTAATTATTGTGCTGAGTTTCAAGATAGAGAAATACACTTTACTGAAAAATTGTACTGCTCCCTTAAATTTATACAGGGGTACCAAAAATTGATGATTTATTTTAAATATTTATTTTACATAAAAACCATGTTATTTCAAATACGACAACCTGTATTTTTTAAAATAAATCGAAACAGATTCAAATGCTCCTTCAAACTATTATTAGGGTAGCCTATACCTACCTAGCTCAGATTTTGAATAAAGAGCAATTTTTGAATAAAATGGCAACAAAGAGGGCTGATGTCGTCATGGCAAGTTTCTAGTGAGAGTAGCTATTTTCAAAATCGAAATTAGTTTATGGACTTTATTTATTTATAGCAAGTACTTTAATCGCTAGTTGATTATAAAAAAAGTATACCATTAATATTGCAAATTATATTTTATCCTCTCATAGTATATGTCTTTTTAATTTTTTGATGATGTAACGAGCACTTTGTTTACTTACTTGTTTCGTCGAAGTGCTTGAATCCATTTTTGCTTTTGATCAAATCTATGATATAAATTTTGTTTCGGGAGAGTTAAATATCCGGGAAAGTTGAGTTACTGAATGTATGTAATTGCACCCAATAACGCCCTAAGTACGCTCTCCTTTACGCGTTAACATTTTTTCGGCAATTTTATTAACATTTGAAATTGTCCCAACACAGCACGACGCCTAGTTCGAATTCTTTTTCATTTATTTTTTATTACCCGAAACAGCGTTACATCTTACAAACATCGTACCTGAGTGTTTTATCTCTTTTTTGTATCAATAACTGCTCTAGCAAAAAACTAAAATACTTATATATTATAAGAAAACCACGATTTCAATATTATTCTATGCGATCAACATGACGGCGACGTGAAATAGGTAGGGATAATATCTGATTTTTGCCGTTGTAGCGCTGCGGTCGGAATTTGTTGAAATCAAATGAAATGCGACAAGGGCCTATACTAATTAATTAATTAATAAGTACTTTTTATATAAACTGGTGTTTAACAAAACGGCGATGGTAAATGCTTCTGTATGCCTACGCGCACCTATTCGCCGTTTTAAAACAGTGCGGGTAGGATGCATCGCAGCTACCATCTTGGCTAGCATCGCATCGAGATGCCTCACTATGTTTGCGCCCTAAGATGGGTTCAGATCTTTCATAATTTGTTATTTCACATGGTATTAAGATTTTTTGTTACTCATTTTTTTTTTCATAAAAGTAGGTGCTTCCAAAATATTATTTAATAAAAAGGAATTTAATGTGTTTTTTCTTTTCTTTTAGAATACCTTTGTATTTTCCTATATATTTTGTTATTATTTGTTTTTACTGTTCATCGTTATTTTTCCAATTTGTCATGTTACCTACAGTACGTCTGCTGGATCTGTGTCTATGAAAGGAATGAGGACAAAAAATATTTAAATAAACAGCAATATATTTTATACGTCGACTTGACGAGTACGTCACCGCAAATCGCTCCGCCCACTCATTTTATTGGCTACTTGCAAATTTGTCGAATTTTTATTGATGGGACGCGTCGTCTAATTTTTTACGAAGAACATCTAGAGAATATCGTTTCTCCTCTCACGAATACCCCGTAGCTACAGAACGGACAGACGTACTGTATGTTAAGATATCAAAATAAAAAGACTAAATCACCACAATACACCAAAACATTTTTACTTTTACACTGGACGCGCGTTTCGCTAACCATGTTGGCATCATCAGCAGATGATTATAAACTCAACATGGTTAGCGAAACGCGCGTCCAGTGTAAAAGTAAAAGTGTTTTGGTGTATTGTGGTGATTTAGTGTTTTTATTTTGCTGTTTAACACCAAAGGTTCCAACCCTCAACTGTAATGTTAAGATATGCCTTATATTTTCTGATGTATACTTTCATTATACCATGGAAAGTGGTAGATGATGTTGACCAAATTTGGAAAATACACCAGTTGGAAAGTAACCGTAAATAATTCCCAACATGTGAGAGATTTTTTTTATTACTGAGTAAAAATTAGCGAAATCTTTTCAAATAGCATAAACCGATCTATGTGATGAACTCTCACGTGGGCATACATTTTTTTCTCAACATAAAAAAATAGGATTCAATGATTAATACTGAAAAGCAGGCCAAATTATACTAAAAAGAACTTTGCTTTGTTCAGAATTAGGCAAAATTTTAGATTTCCATATACCAGAGAGGCATTCTGGAAAAAAAATGCTTTTATTTTTTTAGAATTTACTGTTACAAAGTAGAAAGTTACTGTTAAGTACCTACTAGTTCTATGAATGATGCACATAGGTATTCATATCAAGAGTATATAGGTACGTTATATTTTCCTTTGTTGTGTAATTTAAGTTTTAGATTCGCTTAGTATGTAATTCAGCAAAGGTGATAGATTGTATAAAAAAGGATAATTTCAGGTATCTGATAGTCAAAGGACCTAAGAAGGTTGAAATTTCCGGCGTTTTAAGAAATGCCATCCAAGAAAGTAGCCGTTTTCTGATATTATACATTAAAATACAAATTAGTTTTGTTTCTTATATACCCCTTAAAACGTTAAATAATCATCATTTTGTTTACGGCAGGCAAATTTGTTTCATTGGTAAAAAACGTCTGTCAGGCTACCCAAGCCGGTCTCCGTTGAGATTCTACACAGTTGCATTCTCCAAAAAATAACATTTTCATTTTTTGCATTTCTGTTTCAGGGACGACATACCCAGATTTATTTCAAGAAATCGACCACCGCAAAGATATCTCTATACAATTCAAAAGGCAATTGTGGCAAACTAACGTAAATTCTTTTTTGCCACAATACACCAAACACTTTATTTTAATCTCCGAACAACACAACTGATACAATTTTAATTTGGATAGGTTCAGTTTTAATCACCGGCTAATAAAGTTAACATTGTTAACAAAACGTTATCCAGAGTTAAAACAAAGTGTTTTAGTGCATTGTAGCAAACTAGTAAGTATTATCTTTCGATTACTTTCTTCTTGTGCTGAGCTATACTTGGTCTTGATCTCGCACAAAAAGCATGACCATGACCATGATCAATACCAGCATGACCAAAATCTAACATCCAAAGCTCTTGCGGTCTGGTATTTTTTCCGGTTTTTATCATCTATCGGATTTTTGAAGTGAAACTTCTTTACGCGCGATGGGAGTAAAAATTGGAGGCCATGACACATGAGCCGACATGGCCGTGACACACGAGACGCGAGAGAAAAAGTGGTAACGATCTTGGAGCGTCGTAATTCGGGCCGTATGTGAGCTAGGGGGCTGAAACTCGGAATGTAGCCTCATCTTTTCGTGATATTTTGACGACGTTTTGTGCACTACGAAACCCCATCATCAATGAATGAAATCAAAAAATCGTCCGATTTAAATGAAATATGGTATGTCGATAGATTGGGGGGATCAAGGCCATTACCGTAACTAGGAATTTATTCTGGGGTGGGCCTGGGTTTGAGCCCAGGGGGGGCCTAGCACTTTTGGTTTTCAAAAATGAAAAATAATTTTAAAAACATATTTTTTTAAAAATAACACAACACACATTAAAAACACAAAACGTTTACATGAATTTCTCTATCAATAAATTTCAAATGGACTTGGTTATCAAACCGTGTTCCCGTACATTACTTAAATACCTACAAAAAATAAAAAAAAATAATAAAAAAAAAAATTACACATTTTTTGAACACAACAAAATAATATTACCTAAAAACAAAACTAGAAAACGTCATTTTTACTGCAATAATTATTAATACGTAGCCAAGAGTCATAATTCAGGATTTCTTTGGGGGGTGCCCAGCAGTACCTGGGGGGGCGTTACTCCCGGTCACCCCTGGAATTACGCCAATGACCAAGGCCAACTTAACCGTGTCATTGTGACAGTTAGTTTTGACGTAAGAAACGTCAACATTTGATGCCGTCCGATCGCGATAAAATTTGGGGGGTAGGCTATGTGAGCGACGGTGCATACGGTCCCACCCTGCAAAGTTGGATATGACGTTTCGTTTACATCTTCATCAAGGTGGGACTAGCGATTTGATAGTCAAAAAAAAATGTGGGTCGATTTCGGCATAATTGGGGACGGGCTACAGGATGACGCCGTCAATAGTTTGAACCGATGCCTCTAAATGGACGAAATCATCAGATTTTTCTTAATTATGGGTCGATTGGAACCAAACTCGGCACGTGGATAGAGGTACACGAATGAAGTTCTCAGACGGATAGATGGGAAGACGGACAGACAGACGACAGACAGATGGAAGTAAGTAGAAGTTTCACTTCAAATTTGCGCACATTTTTTTATAAATAATAATTACTGTGGCTGTTAAGTACTTGATTAGTCAAAGGACTAAAAAAAAAGTCGAAATCTACGACGTTTTTTAAAATTATCTATCGCTCTGCTTTCCGATATTTTGCGTTAAAATACTTATATTTTTTGATTTTTGCTTCTGATTATGGGAAGAATATACTAATATAAGAAAGACAGTGTTGTATTGTGTTATCCCGACTTTTACATAAAATTTTAAAGGGAGTAATGCTGATTCAATATATGAATGTTGAAAAATAAAAAAAACAGTATCAAACAAATCTAAGTTTCTTAAAACACTATTTATTTAAAGATTTTCTATGCAGAAAGTGACTCTAGTAAGAATCTATTAAAAAAGTGCATGATTTGCAAGAGTCTTGCAGTAAAACTGGATCCTGCAAGACCAAAGCTAATGGAGTCTTGGTCTTGCATTTGCTCATCACTATTTTCCTGCATGACTGAATAAAAACTAGATCCTACCTTCAGCATTGTCGTTTTTCGAGTCACCTTCACTAGACCGCCCCGAACAATCCAACGGCGGCGTTCCCGTGCCCGTAACGTCCAAATCCGATTCGCAATCACTCGCCACATCACCACCAACATCACCCCCTACACCCTCCACGTCCGACCCTTCCTCCTGCCGATCACCATACTCCTCGTCCTCCTCCGAAACCACACTTCTTCGGTCCAACAATGTCTCGGGCAGAATCGCGTTGATGGTGAAGGACTTGAGTGGCGTATTTGCCATCGCTGATACCGATTTCGGTCGTTTTTCCGACGACACCATATTCACCGCGTCATCGTCGTTGTTGTCTAGAGAGAGCTACGCGATTAGGCCGCGTCCACGCTCGCGCTCTTTTATAACTTTCGCCTCGCACGCCCAGCGTCGGCCCGTCCGGCCAATCGGACGGGTCCCTGGGTGCTGGGTGTGGTCTGTTGACGGGTTTGTGTATGTTGAGCGTGTTTGTAAACGATTAGGCCGGGCGAGAGAGACGGACGATCGTGGATTTGTGTCGGAAATGAGGAGGCCGGGGCGGCGTGATCGGATTTTTGTCGTGCCGGTTGTTTTGTCGGGTTGGAGGTAAAGTGGATGGACGGGTGTTGGGCTTATTTCAGAGAAGGAGATGTGTTTATTATAATCTGAATGGGGGAGGGGGGACATATAAGTTTGGTTTTATTTTGGTTATTGCTTTTGAATATTCCATAATGATCAAATTTGGACAGATTTGGAGAATTGCGACTACTTACGTTATATTTTTAAATGATGATTATTTAATATTTTTTTAGAATTGACATAATTTTTTTTTATTAAAAATATGTACTTACATATTATATACAGGGTTAGTGATGTAAAGGGTAATATTACCGCGGTAATATTACCGGAAATTTTGGTAATATTACGTAATATTACCACAAAATTGGTAACATTGGAAACATTGTCTTTTTGTTTGGTAAAAACAAGCTGGAGCTGCTTTGTTTCTTGTCTAAAAAGCTTTTTGGACACTAAACACTCATTAAAAATCTTAGCAGTTGATAGCCAAGTTATGTTCAAAAGTGTTTACTTGGCTTTTTCGAAATAAGGTCTATATTATGTAGCAAAGTATCAGAGTCATCAGGGTCGGCGGAAGGAAAATATTGAGACCGGGCGAGTACCATATCTGGCAAAAGTTCACATATAATATGTTATTCTATTCAAAGTGTCATTTTTCTATCGCATAAAGTATAAAATATAATAGTAAATATATACCAAAGATGCTATTTAAAAATCAAAAGTTGTAGTCATTTCCATTGAAACAGAAAGTGACAAAAAACAATTGAATACGTCAATTAATCCTAATTTATGTCGTATACTAACATACCAAATCTCGTTTTTTCATCTGAAAAAATAAACAAGTTATAGGGGTGAGCCGCTTTTGAGACGCACCCGGTATATAGAGCTATAAGAAATAGAATTCCAACTTCGGCAGTCTCGTTCTGGTATAAGTGATCTTTGAAAACATTAGTATAAAATACCACGAACAAATCAAATTTATATTTTTTATTTTATTTTGTTTAAGATTCTTCCACGAAAATGAATTCGCAAATCCCAGTTTCGAATAGAGCACCCAAAATACATATAGAAAAGCTTAATAGAAAAGGAGAATTCAAAACTATCCCAAAGCTTTCGTGCTAAGGATTTTTTTGAGCATAATTTCAGTAAACTATAATAGGATACGTCTAGGATATAGTAATGTTTATAATGTTTAGTAAACGCTGTTAATGTTAGTAAACGCCACGAATGTTTGGGAGTGATTCATCGCTTGATGAAGTTAGAATCGACACGCGCGCTATCATTTTTACATTAAAAACGTAAATTTTTACCGCAGACGTAGTTTTTAAAGGCCCGGTCTAATCATCTGCCTACGCTCCTCCTACTTACTCTAAAATGTTAGCGTGATTGACAAAGACGATACTATATCGCGTTTCTTTGATTGATTCGTTTTTGTGCGTCAGTCGATTGATGTGCTTACAGTGCGACCAATGGGGCATTCCATTTTATATTTATAACCAAATATATGTTTTGACAAGAGTTTGACAGTTAAAACAACAAATTACAACAGATTATATATTGATTATTATAATGACTTGAAACACCACGGCACTGGAATTAAGTTTTATGTGACCTTGAACAGCTTAGTTCACATGGTAGCGACCGATAAGTCACTCCCAAACATTCGTGGCGTTTACTATAGTAGATATTTCTTTCCTATGTGGGTATGATAATTGCCAATATTTTAATGTGGAAATTGATAGTAAAAGATAGTAAAATATTAATTATTGATCTGGTTTTTCATTACTATTTGTTTAGATTAGTGTTTTTAAATATTTCAGTTGCCGTCGTGGCGCCCCTCGCATGCGGCGCCCTTCCGCCGGCCCTGAGAGTCATCCGTTGCTATAGGTCGAAAAACAAGAAAATGTATGCAATTCTAAAACGGGCAAGTAATAGTTATTTTTTATACAAGACGATAAAATAATGGTATTTTATCGTTGACCGAAAGGATTCATTCATGAGCGATGAATTCGCGAGTGAATTAATTTCGGGAGACGATAATGCAATTTTATCGTCGTGTATAAAACAATATTTTATTACGAGTTACCTACGTTTTAAAAAATATTCAGAAATTATTATTTCAAGGAATTTATTACGAGTAGAAAAAATATTGTGCTGGGTTGGCGTTGGTTTCTATGTAATTTGACAAATAATTAAAGCTGTCTCTTTAGTTGTCAGTTTTGAGTCAATATTTTTTAATTCTCTTTCGGGTCGATTGCTGATTGAATTGGAGCCAGAAATGGCTCAAAACGAAATAAGTAAATTACCAACAGATATTCAGGCTGAGGCGACAAACGCCATATCCAAACTACTTCCATTTAAATCCCGAATAACTTATGAAAAGGAATACAAAAATTTTCAAAAATGGAAGCAATTTAAAAACGTGCGAGAAGAGAGATCAAGTGAAAACATACTTTTAGCATTTTTCTGAAAATTCAAAGAAAATGCAACCGTCCAGTTTCTGGTCGTACTATTCAATGCTAAAAAGTACAATACTGGTCAATGAAAACATTGACATTTCAATGTAAGGGATAAGCTATACCGTTTAAATTTCCGTAATAGTATAGTAACATCTAAACTTTGTAGATATAGCAAACTCATACCTTTCTTGAAGCAGTCATGTAACGGTTACAAACAGTAAAAGTCAAACATTTTAAACCCAGAAGCAGGGTTCGGAAAACTACGTGTTACTTTTAAAAACTACATAAACTACATTACATGTAGTTAATGTAGTTTATGTAGGGGGTGTAGTTTATGTAACCTATTTATGTAACTTTCAAATATCAAAGGTTTGAGGTGAGGTTATAATAAGTTGAAGCTTTAAAAACACATAATGTATTTAAGAAAACAGAAGAAATATGGCTTTAAATATAATATTTACATCATATTATCTCTATTACACCTCATACAAAGGAAAGATATTCATAATATCAATACATAGTTTATTAACGTAGTTTTCATGTAGTTAATGAACGGGAAAAGACGTAGTTTTTGAAGAAAAACTACACGTAGTTAATCAGGTAAATTACGTCTTAATTAACTACTTCCGAACCCTGCCCAGAAGATGCGAAATTTTTTTGCACTGCTTTTTTTGCATTTATTCTACCCTTGCTATTTTATCTACTATTTTTGATACTATTCTTGATCTACTATTTTTGATAGATATTAGGCAATTTTAACAGTTGCTATTGAAAAATGGTTTAAAATTATCTATGTCTGGGTCTGTCTGACTGAAAACATAATAAAATTTGTTTCTGGCATTATTATCTGAGTTGAAATATTGTCAATAGAAAGACCAGTTAAATTATTTTTGATATCGTTAATTATATCTTCAATTTTGATTTCTTTTAAAATATCCTTAGAAGAGAGGCATTGTCAAGATTGAGGATTTTTTTTTTAAATTTAATAAAAGTGACAAACATTAAAGAGAGATTTACTTAAAACTAAATTTACCGTCAGGAAACTCTCTAGCTTGATTAATTATTTCAAAGACGTGGTTTAAACAATATGAAGACGGATCGCGGAGGAAAGGAGCGACAGGAGAAAATACTTTAAACATGTGTGAGCACACGCGCCAGGGGCGGACTACATAGTAAATAATCAACTGATGTCCTGGGACCAGATTCATCAAATAATTACGATCGAACTTCAGGTAAGTTCGTTTGATCGTTTAATTATTAGGTATTACTTATTTTTTTATTAAAAAAAACATGTTTATCTATTTTTAATTTCTTTACCCTTTATTCGTCTCGTATAAGTGTTGTTTGCCGTCTCAGAAACCAGTCGGGGTTCCCCTAATATGTCCCATCGCTAATTCTGCCATGCACGAAGGACGCGTTAGGGCTAACACAAAGAGTAAAAAAAGGGTAAGGGTATCCGGCTGCCATTATTGTTATCCTTCAACAGATTTGATATGTATCTTTTGCGTCGTTACAATGATGGGGTACAGCCGTTCCAAAATATATTCATATAGATTTAATGGATGTTAGAAATGGCGGATAAATATTTTGGATATGGGTCGACTCGAGGTTTAATCCCATGTGAATGATTGGAAGGGAATTTTTGCCGTATATATTTAAAGATATTAGTTGAAAATTACTTCTTATAAAACATATTTTAGTATATTTTAGTAATTAGTAGGTGGAAAAAAGTAGGTGTGTTTGAGTTGTAAATATTCATTATGCGAACTTAAAATAATTTTAGATAGTAAAGGTGTATCATATACATATAAATTGAGTAAGAATGTACACAATTTATTCTAAGTAAACTGGTGATTGTTTTCATATCCTTTCTAATTTTTAAACCTAATTTTTTTCGGAAACGCCTCTTAATGTAAGTTGTATACAGGGTGGTCCGAACCGTATTCCGGAAACTTCGGCAGCATATTCTGCTGATAAAAATAAGTGAAAAAGTTCGTATAAATGTATGTACTAAAATGCTTAGTTTCGGAGATACACGGTGTAGAAGTTTCATTTTTATTTCGATTTTTTCCAAATAATAATAATATACAATAATTCCTGAAGTAACATCAATATTTGGATGAAAATTGGTGTCTGGGAGTTTTTTGACATGAGAAATTTGATTTTTATATCATTCTGACTCCTACTTGTAGACGCCACCTACATAATTTTTAACTGGGTTGAAGTGTAATAACTTTTCGTCCGTACCTGTATAAAACTATCGTTTTTACTCGAATATAAATTTACTACGTTTTTTACGTAAAAATCGTTTTAGTAAAAATCGCTACGAGTA